TATTATAATCTTATGTGACCACCAACATATATGCAGCCTGTCATGACAGACACATCGATATCTAGTGCATGATTGTAGATACACGCACACACACACAGTCATCTCACAGTGGTTCCAGGACCTCCCACAAATTCCAAAAATCCATGAATGTGCAAGTAAGTCCCTGATATAAAATGGTGGAGTATAACCTACACACATCCTCCCATATTCTCTAAATCATCTCTAGATTACTTATAATACCTAATACAATGTAAATGCTATGTCAATCGTTGTTATACTGTATTATTTAAGGACTAATGACAAGACAAAGGTCTACGCATATTCAGTACAGACATTTTTGATGCACAGTTGGCTGAATTCACAGACGCAGAACCCATGACCAATTGTATATAGTTTTTAATACATAAAATAAATAGGATAGGCCTGGCACAGTGGCTCACGTCTGTAATCCCAGCACTTTGGGAGGCTGAGGCAGGAGGATCACAAGGTCAAGAGATTGAGGCCATCCTGGCCAGCATAGTGAAACCCCGTCTCTACTAAAAATACAAAAATTAGCTGGGCATGGTGGCGTGCACCTGTAGTCCCAGCTACTCGGGGGGCTGAAGCAGGAGAATCACTTGAACCTGGGAGGAGGAGGTTGCAGTGAGCCAAGATTGTGCCACTGTAGTCCAGCCTGGTGACAGAGCGAGACTCCGTCCCAATAAATAAATAAATAAATAAATAGGATAACAATATATTTTATGTTCCAAAAATCCTTTTATTGTCCATAGGCTGTAGCAGACTGACAAGAGAGTCTGTGGCACGTAGAAAAGTAAAGCAAGGGGCTGGGTCTATAATCCCAGCACCTTGAGAGGCAAAGGCGGGAGGATTGCTTGAGCCCAGGAGTTCGAGACCAGCTTGGGCAACATGGCAAAACCCTATCTCTACAAAAAATTAGCTAGGTGTGGTGGCACATGTAGCTTCTGTAGTCTCAGCTACTTGGGAGATGAGGTAGGAGGGTTGCTTGGGCCCAGGAGTTTGAGGCTGCAGTGAGCCATGATTGTGCCACTGGACTCCAACCTGGACAACAGAACGAGATCCTGACTCAAAAAAAAGAAGGGTAGTGTCCTTGCTTTAGTTGCCAGATGGTGGGGAAGTGGAGGGTGACTCTTAGGGGAGTGGCCCGGCTAGGGCAGCCTGGGACAGCAGCTCTTTAACAGCTGGAAGGGAAGATCTCAGGTTTTTTTTTTTTTTTTTTTGAGATGGAGTCTCACTCTGTCACCCAGGCTGGAGTGCAGTGGCATGATCTCAGTTCACTGCAAGCTCCGTCTCCCGGGTTCATACCATTCTCCTGCCTCAGCCTCCCGAGTAGCTGGGACTACAGGAGCCCACTACCCCGCCCAGCTAATTTTTTGTATTTTTAGTAGAGACAGGGTTTCACCGTGCTCTCGATCTTCTGACCTCGTGATCCGCCTGCCTCGGCCTCCCAAAGTGCTGGGATTACAGGCTTGAGCCACCGCGCCCGGCCAGATCTCAATATTTTAACCACTGGTTTGGCAGTCCCAGTGAGCACCTTGCAGGCCAGCCCAGGGCATGAGCTGTGGGTTTCCCTGTAGTAGTTGGGCTTTCCTGCTCTACCCAGGGGCGGGATCCTCATGACACCCCTAAAGAGTCAAAGCAGGCCAGGCGCGGTGGCTCAGGCCTGTAATCCCAGCACTTTAAGAGGCCGAGGCGGGCGGATCACCTAGGTCAGGAGTTCAAGACCAGCCTGGCCAATATGGTGAAACCCTGTCTCTAAAACAATACAAAAATTAGCTGGGCATGATGGCGGGTGCCTGTAATCCCAGCTACTTGGGAGGCTGGGGCAGAAGAATCACTTGAAACCGAGAGGCAGAGGTTGCAGTGAGCCGAGATCATGTCATTGCACTCTACCCTGGGCGACAGAGCATGACTCCTCAAAAAAAAAAAAAAAAAAGGCCGGGCGCAGTGGCTCACGCCTGTAATCCCAGCACTTTGGGAGGCTGAGGCGGGCAGATCACGAGGTCAGGAGATCGAGACCATCCTGGCGAACACGGTGAAACCCCGTCTCTACTAAAAATACAAAAAATCAGCTGGGCGTGGTGGCGGGCGCCTGTAGTCCCAGCTACTTGGGAGGCTGAGGCAGGAGAATGGTGTGAACCCGGGAGGCAGAGGTTGCAGCGAGTTGAGATCGCACCACTGCACTCCAGCCTGGGTGACAGAGCGGAACTCTGTCTCAAAAAAAAAAAAAAAAAAGTCAAAGCAAAAATGACTGGCCCATTTCACAGATAAAAGGGAATTGCCCCTTCAAGGTCAACAACTCATCAACATCAGAGCCAAGACTAGCCCCACCTCCTGTCTTCCTCCCAGGCAGCCTCAAGGTTCCTAGGGACAGTGCCAGGAACTAAATGCAGCAAGATGTACCATTTGCAATAGGACTAGTGCCAGAGGCATGAAGCCTTAAAAGAAGGCATGGGACCAAGGCTTTTCCCAGCCTAGACTCCTCCAAGCCTGAGGAACACAGGCCTCTTTTCAAGGTGTCAACTGGGTGCCTGCTTCAGAGATGATAACCTCAGAATAGGGACCCTCCTCTCTCTCTGAAGGTGGAAGCGCAGCAGGCCCAATCTAGAACCTCAACCCAGTTCTACTTGGCAGCTGCAGTGAGTAGAACTATTATCAGGGTGTTGGGAAAAGGTCCTCTTCCTTGCTATAGCTTCTCTGCAGACTTGTAACCCCATAAACTACAACAGCAAAACCACCCCTATACTGTACTTTCTTTCATACCTATGCAGCCTCATCTGCAAACAAATCCCTCCCCTCCACATTCTTGTCCTCATTCTCCTTCTTTACCTTTGTGGCAACTGATAGTTCCTGACCACTTGCTTTGTGATGAAATTTTCCTCCAAAACATGGTTCTGCTCCCACCTCCCTGGAGGCTCACTCCTTCTGTCTCCAGTGGTTCATTTCCTTCCACCCTGCTCTCAAACACCAGCCTTCCCTAAGGTGATACATTCTCATTCAGGCACCCTCAATTGGGGGATGGGGATTCGTATTATAATAGCATTGTTTGGGAGAGTTCCAGTAATTGCAGGACATTTGGCATTCCTAAATACCAAGAGTGTCAGTGGAGGACCCCATGATCTCAGCCACCATCATAGCTTCAGCAATCATCTTGTGGCTGATGGCCTCAACAATCACCACCTCCAGCCCTTATTCCCCTCCTGGTCTTAGGGCCCGCCTTTACTGTTTTCTGGTAATTTCCTCCATGCCACAGCATGTCCCAGTCTGAAGTCACCCTCTCCTGCTAGCATCCACCCTGATCCAACCTGCATTCCTAAGCCCAGAGATGGCACCCCTAGCCACCTCAGCACCCAGGCCACACACCAGGCAGTCAGCCTTGCCTCCTCCCTCTCTCCAACCCACTCATCCAATCAGCCACCACACCTGAGGATTTCATCTCTTAAAAATGTAAGTTTCATCTGCTTCTCTCCATCTTTGAGGATACTGGCCTAATTCAGGTTCTCTTTCTCTCTCACCAGACTCCTGCAGCACCCTCCTCATCCTCACTGCCCCCTGCCTTTAGTGTGGTAGTGCATGGAGCCAGACTGCCTGAATTCAAGTCCTGACTCTGCCACTTCATAACTGTGCAATGTTGGCTGGGTACATTAACCTCTCTGGACCTACATTTTCTGTAAAATGGGCATCATAATAGTGCCTTCCTCAGAAATGACCATGTTTATGAGTTAATACATGCAGAGCACCGAGCCTGGCCCTCAGTAAATCTTGGCTACTATTGTCAGTCTCATTATTTCCAACCTGCCCTTCACTCAGCAGCCAGAGATAATTTGACCATGTCATGCCCACTTAATCCTCCTCAGGGGCTCCCCACTTCTTGGAAGCCCTGCTCCTAAGACTCTGCTGATCTGTCTTCCTTTCATATCATATTGACTCTTGAACACACCTAGGCTTATGCCCATAATCCTAGCACTTTGGGAGGCCAAGGCAGGAGAATCCCTTGAGCCTAGGAGTTTGAGCAGCATAGGGAGCAGCATAGGGAGACCCCATCTCAAATAAACAAACAAACACACCTGACAAATCTTGCCTCTGAGCCTTTGCTTATGCTGTTCCCTGTGCCTAAGCGCTCTTCCCCATCAATTCCCATCACAAGCACCTGCTCCAGTGCCACCTCCTATAAAAATCCTCCCCAGAACCCTCCATACAGAATGACTCTGATTCTTCCTCTCCATGTCCCAGTCCTTTTTTATCCCCTAGGGATGAGTATGTGTTCCTTGTGTCTCACTCATTTCAGAATTCCCAGAATTCAGTGCAGATCCTAGCTCCATCTCCTGCCCCCAGCAGGGGCTTCACAAAATCAAGCTGAATTCCAGCACTTCTGGGCCTCCTAGGGCCAGAGCTCCTCAGCCCAGAGGGTGTGTTGGCTCTGGGCCTATCTGAAGGAGGGCCTGAAACTGTAGGGTGTGCTCTCTGCCCACCTCAGTTTCTGAATCTCCTCCATTAAGCAGCCCCCTCCTCTGAGTCTGGGATGGGGGTGGAGGCTGAGGGCAGTGTTATGTGCAGGGCTGCCCAGGCATGGGGGCTCCCCAAGGCAGCTGAGGGCAAGGAGATGGCTCCAGGCCTTAGCCAAAGCCCTGCCACCTTCTATGATGAGGGCTAAAAGCACAACCCAGGGTCCCTCGCACCCTGGAGTTCACGGTCTTTGTTTCAGCCTCTCTTCTGCCAGGGTTAGCTCTGACTTTGGGCCAAGAGCTTCCCCTCTCAGGGTCTGGATCTCCTTCATCACAAGAAAGATCCTCTCCAGCTCCATCATGTTCTAAATGCTGACTCTAGATGGTGTCAGGGTACAGAGAATCACGGGACAGGAAGACTAAGGGGTGAGAGTGCACTGGAAGGTGAGAGGTAGGAGAAATTTTTACTGCCTTAAGCACATTCCTGCCTATCCCTGCTCCCTTCTTTGCCCATACACACAGGCTGGCCACACCAGAGAACAGAAAAGGAAAAAGTTTATTGAAAACTATATACAGTTGGTCCAGCTCCTACAATGGGCTGCAATCTCAGCCAGTCCCTCCCACACCTCAGGCAGTGTCTTGGCCCCTCATGGGGAGAGATGGGGCTGGGCCTAGGGCCCAGACTCCCTTGGGTGGCTTGGCAGCTGGAGCCCACCGTGGATCTTTGTAAATTTACAACTCTAAATGGCCTGAAGGTAGCGGGCAGGGGACAGGGAATGGATCCCTGCCTGATCTAGTCACAGCCTTGATAGGGGAACACTATTCTGAAACTTGGGTCCAAGTAGGGCCCAGCTAAGTTGTCCGGAAGTCCCAACTGCTCCTCTCACAGGCCTTCCTAGACATGGAGGCAAACAGCCTCCCTACGACCCCACCCCATATAGCAGCCCCATGGGCTTCACCGGCTTGACTGGGGACACCAGGTACCCTTCCTCCCAACATTGACTCAGGGTCCGGGGCTCCTGGAGCACTCCCCAAGCAGAGGACTTGGGGTTGAGGGGTGAGTGTTGGGGAGGTCACAGCTCAGAGCCCAGAACCGGAGCCTCCTGGGGTCAGAGCAGCCATGGGGTCAGGGCGTCCCGCTGTAGGAATAGTCTGCTTTATTGTGCATCACCAGCCGGTCATCCACGAAGTAGAAGCTGTCAGACTGGGTCTCATACGGGTGACGGATCATCTCGCTGACTGCAAGAGAGGCCCACCAGGCCGGGCAAAGGTCAGGAGCCTGAGTCCGGCCACTGCAGAGGCTTCAGAACTGGGGTACAGGGACAGCCAAACAACCTGAGATATCCCCGGCCTCTTTCTCTACAGATGATATGGGAATGGTGGCAGACACAGAAGAGCCCCAGGGTGGGGAGAAATGGGGTCAGACCCACAAGTCTCCCTCCCTCCCACAGCTCAGTCTCTACACGCCCCCCACTTCCCCACTCCTAGAAGGCCCTGCCCACGCACTCAGCTCCTCAGAGAGAGGGGGGAAGTCGTAGATGTGCTCGCAGGTGTTCTTGCTGCTGGGGATGCAGAAGCCAAAGTGGAAGTCGAAGCTTTTGAGTAGCTGGTTGCGGAAGTAGTGCCTCTCGATCATGCGGAAGTTGTTGACAGGCTTGTCTCCCACTGTGAACTCCACCCTGAGCAAGGGAAGGAAGCAGGGCTGAGTCTGTCCTTGAAGTCAGCTAGCCAGCCAGGCTCAGGACAGGCCACCCCTACAAGAGGCTGAGAAGGGCCCCCTCACACCCTCTCCCTCACCCCCACCACCACCCCCAGCCCAGCGACTCACGTGGCTCCCACCTGCCTCAGGCGGAGGAAGGCAGGTGTGAACTGGTAGCGGACAAAGCGCCCAGCATTGGGGTCCAGGTCCCGCCGGTTGATGGGCAACCGCTCTGCAATGTACCCCAACTGGGGCTCAGTGGGCTTCAGGCTGGGCCCTTGTCCACCCAGGGTTCCACCCCTGGGCCTCTATCTATCTGATTTTGTAAAAACTCCCCAAGAAATTCTGGGGCACATTGAGGGTTCAGACCATTGGCCAGATAGTGCCACCTAGCGGTTCTAGATCTGCAGGTTCCCAACTGCCACTGTGGTTCCGGGGCCACAGGATGCTGAGGCCTGGGACCCATAGGACTGCAGTTCCCAGAGAGCCCTGCAGAGGGCAGGCTGGCAGGGACCGAAGGGGCAGGGCTGACCTCACAAGATGTCCAGCCTCAGAAACATATGGGAAGGAAAAGAAAGGGCCCCCTTGCCTGCAGACTCCTGAGAATGCTGGGGTCCAAGCCCCACCTCTGTGGACTCCTCTGTGGCCCAAGGAGTCCCTGGGCAGCCCACTCCGCAGCTCATATCTGCCTCGCCATCAATGGCCCACCCAGCCCACTCACCTGAGGCTGGGGGCTTCTTGATTTCAAAGAGGACAGTGCCTGAGTCCATGTCCCGAATCTTAAACCTGACGAAGTCGATCTTGTAGATATTCTCCTCAGGGGAGCACAGGTAGTCTACGGGAGACAGGCAGCTGAGCAAGGAAGGGGCCCCAAAGCCCCCGCTGCCAGGTCAGCTTGTGTGGGACCCCAGAGTAGCTACCATCTTCTTATCCCTGGGATCACTACCCTCTGGAAAGAGGGACCTGAACCCCTGCCCTTGGGGTACACCCCCAGTGTGGAAGAGACATAACTCCACCATGGGGATCTAACAGGGGATAAGGCGTGCCATCCTGGTGGCCTCTGGGGGCCAGGGAAGGGAAGGGCAGAGAAGGGTAGAGGACAAGGCCACCTCCCGGACGCTCTCCCTCCCACCCTGGAGTTGAGGGTCCTCCTTCTGGCCTCTGCTCTGCCAAGGCTGGCTAGGTGACTTTGGGAGAATTGGGTCTCCAGCATGGTGGGAGCCCCTCCTCTCATATGGGAACAACTTCCTGCAGTCTGACCTGTCTCTTCTACTGCAAACTCAATCTATCAACTTCTCTGCTACCCTGCCTTTGAGAACCACACTGTAAAGGGGGCCACACAGCTCTGTCTTGGGAGAGTCACAGTCCTTCTCTGGAGGATACTCCTACCCTCGCCCCACAGCTGCCCCTGGCATGACATCTAGATGTATCAGGTGAGGCTGATGTTGAGGGGACTTTCCCTGATATGGGTGGTGCTGGGGCAGGTGAACAACCCCTTCCCTGTTCCTCCTCCCCTCCCAACCCCCTCCTCTCAGTAAGAAGCTTACACCAGCCCAGCTCCCTTAAGCAGCTTAACCAAAGCTCTGCTGACTCAAGCCCAGAGCCTGGGATATGGCAGGGGGTGGAGGCCAACTTTGCTCTTATCCTTTGTTGATCTCCAAATGGGAGGAAGTCTTAGCAAGCAGAGGGAACCCCCTTAGAGGTCATTTAGGCAGCCCTGGCTCTGAGCCACCACCATGGAGAAAGTAGTCCCGGACCCCTATAGAGAAGAACACAGGCTAGGCCAGGAAGCGAGTGTGGCAGGTGCAGCAGCGGGTGTGGAAGGGCTAAAGGGAGTCCTCGGGCCCACAAGGGGAACCAAGAACAGTGGGAGGCCCTGCCTGAGGAAGCTCAGGGACCTACAGGGCCTGATCTAACCCTCACAGCTCTTGCAGCAGCAACTTCAGGTGTTCAGGGAGACCCTGGCAACAAAGATAGCTGAGAGGTGCAGGGAGGGACTCTGATGCTGTCAGCCTACACAGCATCACATCCTCCCCTGGTGGCCCACAGAGGCCTGGAAATCACCCTCCAGGCCCCTGGGCCACCTATTCCTCTGGGGCAGGAAGAGGAAGTGAATATAAAGTCATTTTCTCTTCCCCAGGCCTGCTTCTTCCCCAAGCCTGACACAGTCCCCTCCAGGAAGCCCTCCTGGCAGCCGTCTGGTACCTGGGGCCCGGCATGGACTTTATACAGCTTGGGGAAGAGTCTACTACAGCCCACGTGTGGGGTGGGGAGAGATTGGAAGTGGGCAACCTCTATCTCATGCCATTCACCCTATTTTCACAGAAAGTAAGCACCAGTATAAAGACATAGAAAGAAGGTACAGAGCATAGGGAATAGAGTGGCAGAGTGGGGAGCAGGATCCCAGTGCCCAACTCCCAGATCCCTGTAAGGCCTTCTCTTCTCCCATTCTCTAACTTTTGGAGCCTCTCTCATTTGGGAACAACTTTCTGCAGTCTGACCTCAGTCTCTTCTACTGCAAACTCAATCTATCAACCTCTCTGTCCTTAGAAGAAGTGAGGAACAGGGATGTCTATGGCTCAGAACACCATGGCCACTCCTTCCCTTCTAGAAAGGATGAGGCCTGGGACCCAGGGTCAGGTCAGAATAAGGAGCAGAGTGGCCAAGGGCTCAGAACACAACTGCTCTATTCCTCTCAGCCACAAATAGCTTCCTAAGCTGGATTCAGGGCCCAGTAATCTGGGAACAGCAAACCTCGGACCTGCGTGATTAGGGTCAGAAGAGACCAGCAAGAGGTGCCAGGGTGGAAATCCCTGGAACCCTGTTCTCAACTCCTGCACAGGAAGGGGTTCCCATGAAGCCCTTTCCTCTACTCACCCTCCACAGATTCCCCATCTCTAAGGGCTATGAATTGCCTCCAAATTAGGAGACAAATGGTGGTACATGAGCTGGAAGCTCCCTCTACTTGCAAAATCAACCCCCCAAGTTACTCAGGGCTCAATCTGACCTCTGGACTTCCTCTGAGACAGTTCTGCCCCAGAGCTAAGCTGAATCCTAAATGCTGCTGTTGCAAATTGTAGCCCAACTGGCTTCAACATCAGCCTGGTCCAGCCTCCCTCCCTCCATCGACGCCTGCTTGGGCAAGGGAGCTCAGTACTCTGGGGGCCCAGCCAAGAATGGCTGCTGCCTAACTCAGTAAGGATAGAGGAGTTGGCCCCCAGGGACCCAGGAGCACAGGCTCAAGGCTGCCTCCCCTCCACAGCTGTGTCTGGGAGCCCTGTGTTCAGCTGCTTTGGAAGCTCTAGGGCTCAGGTCCACTCCAATATATGCACCCCATACCCACAGAGAGGCCCCCCAACAATTATTCTCACAAAGGGGGCCAGGGCAGGTTGCTGGTGAATGTGGCCAAGGTGGAGAGCCACTGTCTCTTCATCCTTTGAGGCTCAGCCAAGGCCTCTGCTATGAGGTTTCCTAGCCCTCATTCCCTGCCTATGATGACCCCCTCCCCTGCCCTGAAAGCCAAGTTGTTTGACCCCAGGCAGCAGCCATGAGCAGCCCTGTAGGGCCCAAAATACTACTGATCAAAGAGCCCAATGTACACAGAATGCATAGATGCCAGGCACTGTACAGAATCAGAGGACTTATCTTCACAATAACCTTACGAGATAGATACCATTATCCCCATTTTACAGATGAAAAGACATGCTGAGAGGTCAGGTTACTTGCCCAAGTTCACACAGCCAATTATATGCAAAGTTGAAACTCCAGCCCAGGCAGTCCAGCTCAGAAACTCTTAACCACAGTGGAGACCAAGCCTCCCTTGATGACAGAGCCCCTAGAATAGGACAGGCGCTAGTCCAGGCTTGGGGGGACGTTAAGCCACTCCCCATGAGAAGGAACCACAGTCAACACTCTGAAGCTGCCTGCTCAGTTTCTTTCCTGGGGAAGAAAATGGCCCAAGTATTCCTGGAGGATCAGGGTGAGGGTATTAATGGTTGGGGAGACATGAAGAGTCTGAATGCCTCCGAAGTAACTCAGCCTCCACCTAGCCTCCAGGGTGGGGGCTGAGGACAAGCTGCACTCAGCCCCTCTCCTCATTAGTGCAGGGGCGGGCCTCAAAGCGCTCTGAAGACTCCACAGAGGCAGGGCTACAGTTGCAGCTGCTGCCGCACGCACCTCCACGCTGGGAAAAGGGGACGGACCCCCGGAAAAGGAAGGAATAAATCTTGAAAGGGAGAAGAAAAGCGCACAGAGAGAGAGATCAAGGGAAGGGGGTACACAGAGATCTCAGGCTTGGTGGCAGAAGGGAGAGTAGGGGACACAGGAGAGGGAGACTCGGTGGGGGAGGGGAGGCGGGAAAGGGGGCGGGGGCTGGGGCTCGGTGCGCCGGGAGGGCCCCTCGCACCCTCTGCCCTTCCCGCCAGCGGGAGGCGCTCCCTCGCGGGTGCTCACCACCCGTGATCCGCTGCAGCCCCAGCACGTCCTCCGGCCCGATCGGCTGCTTCCTCTGCAGCGGCCCCGGCCTGGGCCCTGGGCCTGCGTCCGGCTCCGACTCGGACCCAGATTCAGATTCCACCGGCGGCTCTGGTATGGGGGCCACGCTCGGGCCCGAGGGCCCGGGAGCGGGCTCCGCCCCCGTCCCGGCCCCACCGCCGCCCTTCTTCACCTTCATGGCCTCGCCGGGCCGCGGCTCGCCTGCTGCTGCCGCCGCTGCCTGCGCCGGCTGGAGCCGGAGGAAGGGGGAGCGTCCGCAGCCCCGCCCCCGGCCGGGGCTCCAGGTACCGCCCCGCCCCGGCCCCGCCCCTGGGGTGGGCCCTGCGCTGATCCCGCCCGCCCCGCGGCCCACCCCTGCCGAAAGGCCACGGACGTGGGGGATGGGAGTCGGGGGATCCTGCCCTGGGCTTCATTCTGTTTTTCTAACACTTTCTTGCACTGGTACTAGTGGGGTCCTGACTACCTCTCCGCTTACTCACTGTGTTCCAGCCTTTCTGCTCATGAGTTCCAGGCTCAGGGTCTCTGCTTGGATGCTCTTCCCCAGATGGCCTTTTTTCTCCTAGTCACAGCTCAAATGTCATCTGCTCAAAGTTGCCTCCCTCACACCCAGTCTGAAGTCCTTCCCCCTCAGTCACCATCTGACCAGCCTGTTTTTGTCTTTCCAATGCATTATGTGAAATTATTTTTATTTGTCTGCTCTTCCTCATGAAAGCTCAGCTCTGTGAAAGCACTGATCCTGCCTACTTTGTTCTCAGTAGGACCCCGGCACCTGGCAGAAGGCTCCCTGCAGCTGGTGCTCAAGATATATATATAGGGCCGGGCGCGGTGGCTCAAGCCTGTAATCCCAGCACTTTGGGAGGCCGAGACGGGCGGATCACGAGGTCAGGAGATCGAGACCATCCTGGCTAACACGGTGAAACCCCGTCTCTACTAAAAATACAAAAAACTAGCCGGGCGAAGGTGGCGGGCGCCTGTAGTCCCAGCTACTCGGGAGGCTGAGGCAGGAGAATGGCGTAAACCTGGGAGGCGGAGCTTGCAGTGAGCTGAGATCCGGCCACTGCACTCCAGCGTGGACGACAGAGCGAGACTCCGTCTCAAAAATATATATATATATATATATATTTTTTTTTTTTACCTGATGAATTAGTATCTCAGGTAAAAAGCAGATGCTAACAGCCTTGGGCAATCTAGCTAGGAAAGGCACATGGCCACGTGGAAGCAAAGTGGACCTGTGGGCACAGGAGGACAAACACCAGGAAACTGTTACTTACCAGTGAATGCAGAAAGAGTAGAGCTCAGACTTTGTATCATTCCAATTCATATTCAGCCAGTGTTTATTAAGAGCCTAATATACATTAGACATGTTACATGCTGATCACATTTAATCCTCACAACCACCTTGTAAGGGAGACATCATCAGTGCCATTTGAATGAATGAAAAACTGAGGCTCAGAGATATTCAACAGCTTATCCAAAGCTCTCCAGACAACAAGTGCAAAAACAAGGATTTGAATTCAGGACTCTTTGATTCCAAATCTGGAACCTTCTGGAACCTCTGACTCACACACACACACACACCCCCAACACCACGTCCTGAGCTGCTGCCTCCTGGACTTCCACCAGACTGTACCTGACAGACAAAGCTAGCTAGGAGGGAGGGGAGTGAGGGAGAAGGTCCCAGAGGTGACCAATGCCTGACCCCTTCATGACGGCAGGGACTAGGGCTCTCCCACAGGCGTTAGAGAGAAGAGTGGAAGGGAGGGACTTTCCCATAATGCTCCCTCCTCTCAGTGCATGAGTGTGCTATGTTGAGAAATAGGGCAAAAGAACAAACAGTCCATGCCACAGAGGGAGACAGGGAGCAGCCTTATCAAACAAGATAAGGAGACCCAGATGATGTGCCTTTTGGGGCCCCTGGTGGTGGAGGAGGACTGAGCCAGGGGAACGGGAAAGGAAGAAAAGATGAATCCATCTTGGAGTGTTGTACTTTGGTTGCTGGAAAGCCAATAGTGGAGACTGGAGACAAATATTTAAGTCATTCCGGCAGGCCCCATGTACGTGCCTCTCAATCTAACACCGCCCACCTTGGCCAAAAAGGAAGGCTTCCTGTGGAGGAGCTGCCCTGCTCAGTCTGTCTTCTCAGGCTTTTTCCAGGACTTGTGGGTCTCCAGGAAGATCTTGACCAGGGACAGGAGGATGGGCACAGCCATAGGCAGGAAGAGTGGGATGTAGATGGCAAATTTCTGGTCATCAGGGAAATAAAGGAGGTGGAGGAGTGACGGGTCAAAAAAGGCACGCTCAGAGGACGTCACAGCTTCCTGGCTGGCGACAAAGGCAGATGCCAGGTGCCCAGAGGCCAACTCTTCTGCTGACTTCTGGACTGCAGCTACAGCCCTGTATACCTAGGAAGCAGAAGGGACAAGAGGGTATACCAGTAAGTCCCAGGCATTGGTGGAAAGGGTGCTGGGCCTTACTGTGCTTTCCATCTATCGAGGAAGATGCCTGGAGTTCATCCAGGATCTATGGAAGTCTGTCTAAAGGGATATGGTTTATTTTCCTAGGGTCAGCTTGAAACCTCGCACTGTCATCTGCACTCCTGCTGGGGGGCTGGTACTGCTGTCTAGAGGAAGGCTGGGACACTAAAGATGAAGAGTGTGGTGAGACCAGAGAGCCTGTGAAGTCCACACCGTGACTTCACAGGCTCTCTGGTCTCACCACACTCTGGCCCTCTCTGACTACTCCAGTCCCAAGCTGCAGAATCCATCCCCTGCCCACTTACCTCAGATGCCACATCGTCCTTAATGACAATGTTGCTGATCTTGCCCAGAAGCTGTGCCAGGGAGGTGAGGGTGGTGGTGGCTGTGGCCAGATTCTCCACTGACCGAGCCCAGAGCAGCCGGTCTAGCTCCCAGGTCATTAGCCCTTCACTCTTAGGCCCTGAAAGCAGGCATTTTGGAGGCACCTGGGGCTGAGCAATCCCAAAGAGCAACCTGTAGGAACATCGGAGTAAGATCAAGGTGGCTGAGACCACAGGGTGGGAGATGATGGCTAAGATTTCTCAAATACCTGTCCTAAACCAGTGATTTTCAATCTTACCCAGAACCATAGGGGTTAAAGGGAAGTACCTCAGGGTCTTGGGGCATAAGTGGCAACACCAAGCAAATTGGCCCCAAACCCTGCTTCAACCGGTGTTTCTGCTTTTACCTGTTTCTACATTAGACTTCCAAGATCTTGTTTTTTAAAAAAAGGTTCCATGGCTAAAATACTTCTGATAACACTAACTTAGTTTAATCCTTTCACCTTCTCTACCCTCTCTTTGAACAAATGGGGCCAATGGGACTTAGCATTAAGGGATGATCCAGGACTGCCTTTGCCAAGGCACATGTGCTGTGCTTCTCTAAGCCTGCATCCGTGACAGACACCGCTAGTCAATCAGAAGAACACTCTTTCCTAATGAGCCCAGATACAGCCTTAGAATCCTCAACATAGAGCCTCAGTCACTCTCAATCCATCAGGCAGCACAAGAATTAACAGTTATTTTCTCAAGCAGCCCTAATCACACTCCATGGACCTGACATTCATGAGTCTATTTTTCTTAAAACTGGTTTTGTTGGCCAGGCACAGTGGCTCACGCCTGTAATCCCAGTACTTTGGGAGGCCAAGGTGGGTGGATCATGAGGTCAGGAGTTCAAGACCAGCCTGGCCAAGATGGTGAAACCCCGTCTCTCTACGAAAAATACAAAAAATTAGTCGGGTGTGGTGGCAGGCGCCTGTAGTCCCACCTACTCGGGAGGTTGAGGCAGAGAACTGCTTGAACCCGGGAGGCGGAGGGTGCAGTAAGCCAAGATCACGCCATTGCACTCCAGTCTGGGCGACAGAGTGAGACTCCGTCTCAAAAAAAAAAAAAGAGTTTTGTTACCTACTAGTCCTTAGAAGAAGGATGATGGGATCCCTAGAAATATCCCTTAGATATCCCTTAGACGTCCCTGGGGCTGTAGGCACAGCCAAGATATCCCTGCCAGGTAAGACTTCATTCCACTTTGCAACTCCCCTCTATAGCCAAGGAAACTATGTCCCCAAGTGGATCATCCAGGACCTCACCGCAACTGTGCCAGGAACACCTCCATCACTCGCACCATGTCCACCTTGACTCTCACTGGCAGCACTGAGGCATTATAGGTTTTGGAGTCGACATTATATACCTGAAAGGGGGAATGAGATTGCCATAACATCATACCAGGCCCATGTACAGCTCTGCCCTAGGCACTCTGGAGAGAAAAGGAAGACATAGTCTCTGCTCTTTAGAAGCTACAAACCTCATGGTATAGCTAATATTTTTTGAGTACCTACTACAGGGAGCATTAAATACATTATCCCAATTAATCCCTTGAAAGTCCTGTAGAACATATTCTTTTCTTATACCATTTTAGAATTCTCCCCCATGAGAAACTTCCAGTCTAACAAGGGAGACAAGGTTCCCAACCTTGCAAGACTCCCACAAATAAGGCCAAGATCTAAGATGGACACAGAATGATCCCAGGTAAGGGCAAAGGGTCATAGTATAGAAAACACTAGCAGAAACAAAAGTGAGGCCCGCAGAAGAGGGGCATGAGCACATGGCACCCTCACCTCCCTGGTGCCTGCCCCTCCCACAGGCTGGGCCATGGAAGACACCAGAAGGAAAACAGAAGGAACACAGTTTCAGGGACACCTGCCTGTCCTAGAAGCATGGGCTCTGGGGTCTGCGTAGTGTGACAATTACCATAATGCCACCCCAGCGAGGACTGTGGAAGGCATTGGTGGCCACTGGAGCGCCATCCTTGTCCTGAATGTACAGCGGTGAGTGTGCAAGCTCAGGCACGTAGAGTAGAAAGTTGAGCACAGGGTACAAGGAGGCAGCACTGGATCCTGTGGTGTAAAGACAAGGGAAAGCAGAATATCAAAACATGCTGGACCTGGACCTTAGTCCCAGGTCACCCTCTAACTTGCTGGTCACTCACTCTGGGACTGATTCCCCAACTAACAATCACTAGGATATCCTCCTGTCCAGGGTGTCTCTAGTAAAGGGCTTCAGAATGCTCTCCCGAGATGTGCCACACAGATGGAAACACAGTCCTTAGCTCCAAAACACCCCTGGATTTTCCCTCCTCAAAGGCCCCTTGACTGTCTAAGACAGCTTTCTTGGCCACTCCCACAATGTACCCATATTACTACAGATAGTTTTATGCAAACCAGAAATCTGACCTTATGTCAGTTCCCCGCTTAATATCCTTCAATGGCTAGCCA